GTGGCGTGGTGGCCTCACAATCAGGAGGCTGTGAGTTTGATCCTATGTAGCAGCAGATATTTCTCTCTCTGAGCTAAAAAAGAAAATATCTGCTGTGAATTCTGCATAAGCAACAGGAAGGGCTGTCTGGCTAGTAAATGCTCAGCTCCATTCAGTCACCCCAACTCCACCCTGTTGCAAGGTTTTTCAGGATCATTAAAAGAAAAAAAATGTATTTCACTAAGTGAACTTTTAACATCCAGTGATAAGGAAAGCATCAACTTACTCTGGTGGTCTTGACTTTATTGCCAGTTGCACACATCCACCCTGAATTGTCAGGTAATGTCTTGCACTCCTCACCCTCTAGGCAGGGCTCCATCTCACACCACCATTTCCCGATGACTATTGAGGCTGAAAGAGAATGGACAAAGCATTTGTGAATCAACCTTGCTGCCTCCATCAGTTTCCTTTGCCTCATCAAGAAGAGGCTTCCCAAATGAACAGAGCCCATTCAGTCCTGCATCAAATCCACATCCTTTCATGAAGATTGAGCTCTGGTCTGGGTTGCTCCAGACTGATGATAGGTCATCAGTCCCCAAATGGGATATAAAAAAGAAGGTGTAAATGAAAACGTCAGATGAGCCAGAGGGTGGCAAAGGAACAAAATCCATTCTGAGTGAGAAAGAAGGGATATGATAGCTCTTTGATCAAGCCGTGGAATTCAGTTCAGAGGACACCATGTATATGGATCACATCACTTTGTAAACATATTTACATTTAGCTTATGTACCTTACTGCTGTGAGAAACATCCTGTAGATCATGAAAAATACCTTCCCCAGGCTCCCATCAATTCAGGAGATCTTTTTTTATTCAGGTGAACATCCCTTACAAGCATTCTACAAGGAGCATCCAAGGAGCTTTTTTACAGAGTGAAAAGTTTGTCTGCTGAGGATGTTATAACTCTTGGTGAGGAAAAAGAAATGAGCTACGTGAGATGACCTCTTGGGGGAGATAAACATATGTGCCTCCTCGGGTCCTTTGATATCTACCTTGATTCCGTAAATAACATCTTCCAAACTACCAGGTGCCTTGATACTCTAACCAGTGTTACAGAAGACATGCATTGTACAAAAAAAAAAAACTCGGTTGAAAATTGTATTATTCTATTGCAATGTTTCAGAATATGAAAACTCGCACTCTGATATTACCATATGCAATTCTGGGAGCAATCAAAATATAATACTGTGGTATGAAAACTATGATACAATTTACAGCTTTTGGGGGGAACTAGATTCATTCTTTGCCAGTATGCTAGTTTATTTTTATCAAATGAAAAGGTGTGTGTTGTATTCTTTTAAAAGAAAGGCATTGAAAAGAAATTGTTTCAAAATTGCTTGTACAGGGGTTGGTACAGTGGCCTAAAACTAACCGAGGACCATTTAACTCCCAATAAAGAAATCCTGGTTCTTCACACATTTAGTTGATACACTGATGGCTACCAGAGTCCTCTATAGAAGTTCCTGCATAACCTGTTCAGGGATGGGTTCCGGCTGCTGCTACTGCCGGTTTTGCTCAGGGATGTGCTGCTTGTGCGTGCTCGATGTGTGCTACGTGAACATGCATAGTATGAAAAAATTACTTCTGCGCATGCGCAGAACAAAAAACAAGATGATGGCACCTATGGTGCCGCCAATAGAACTGGTTCGGGGCATGGCAGGGCGAGTTACTACCTATTCGTCCGAACCGGTCCGAACCACTAGGAACCCACCTCTCAACCTGCTGCTCCTAATGCAAGGACAATACCCTTAACTGAAGACTAGATGTCATCTTCAACCTGTGTGTAGCCCACTGTGCAAACAACATCCACCCTGCACTCCATTTTTTCATGGAGTTCCATTTCACAAATACTGTTTTTCACCTTTGGCTGGCAAGAGTGGTGTAGCTCAGACTGTCTGCTGGGCAGCATCTCACTAAAGGCAAGGCATCTGCTTCATCGTGCTAGCATTTGTCTTCTGACTATACAGATCCTTGTTCTCCATGCCCTTCCTTTGCAATTAGTGCTTCATAAGACACTAATTTGAATCAATATAGGAAAAGATTCCTATACGTGCTAGTTGTTCCCGACTCTAGGGGCCGGTGCTCATCTCCGTTTTAAAGCCAAAGAGCCAGCGCTGTCTGAAGACGTCTTCGTGATCATGTGGCCAGCATAACTAAACTCCAAAGGCACACGAAACACTGTTATCTTCCCACTAAAGGTGGTTCCTATTTTTCTACATGCATTTTTACATGTTTTCAAACTGCTAGGTTGCTGGGACAGAAGCTGGGACAAGTAACGGGAGCTCATTCCGTTACATGGCACTAGGGCTTCAAACAGCTGAACTGCCAACCTTTCTGATCGACAAGCTCAGCATCTTAGCCACCGAGCTACTGTGTCCCTATTAATGAATCAATGTACAATAGGCTAATTTACAGAATGCATTCAAAATCTAGGACTCAATGTCCTCAAGGGGCTGAAATTCAGGCAAGCAACCCCGAAACCTTTTATTGACAACCATAAGGATGATAGAGGGAAAACAACTGTGCATTCAACCCCCTCCCTCTTTCCCAAAGATGCCCCTGCCCCCCATGCTCTTGGACTGGAATCTGTCCATGATTCCTGGGCTTGTTGAAGCTTTCTTGTGAAGAGCCGTGGTGGCGCAGTGGTTAAATGCAGCACTGCAGACTACTTCAGTTGACTGCAGTTCTGTAGTTCGGCTGTTCAAATCTCACCNTATAATAATAATGTATACAAAGATATTTGATTGACAATATGTGATTTTTGATAAAGCTCGTGATGACTATGGAAAGTACGCAGAAAGACCTTGTAACCAATCGAACAATGTATGCAGTTGAAGAGGTTTTTATCTTATATGTTTTGTGTGGTTGTGTTTGTTTGAAAATAAAAATTTTATTTAAAAAAAACAGCCCATATTGGCTCAAAACTGTTAAATCTGAGCAATTTTATCAGCAAAGTACTATAGAAAATGGTCACAATGACCTAGGGGGGAGATCTGTATGTTAATATTTCCTATTAGGAAGTTGGTTGTCATAAACAAGATTGCCTGCTAATACAATACAGGAGAAGTAGAAGACATGCTTTGCCCTCTCTATTGCCACAAAGTAGGCTCAAATATGGGCATGTATTTTATTCAGGTAATTCGATTTTATTGCCACCCACTTGCTTAGTCAGATTTGCTTTTCATCTTTTTCCACTGGCCGTCTAGACCAGGGGTGTCAAATTTGTATTGTCACGTCGCGATTTTTCCCCCTTCGCTAAAACAGGGTGGGCATGACCAGCTCATGATGCATCCAGCCCGTGGACCGCAACTTTGACACTCCTGCTCTAGACATAGTTTCTCAGCTTCCTGTCCTGAAGACCCCCATTAAATCAAGAACCTGGCTGGGAATGGAGTAGAGGCTACCAGAGGCTACACAGGAGGTAATACTGTTTGGGATCTGATTTGTCTCCTATTGCTAGTTACTCAATAGCATTGCACAGAATTGCTTGCTGGATAATTGGGAAATTATTTAAGTGCACTTTAGATTGATTAGACATTTTGGGAAGCACTTTCAAATGTCATAACTGCAAACAGTTCCTATATGAGGCTGTCTTTAAGCAAGGAATCCGTATCCACTGTAAGACAAAAACAAGGTCTGGTTTATGATCATCTGTATATTAGGTCTTATATTACTTCAGCAAGTACATAGTTGCTACAGACAATGCAAATTCCTGAGACTTGCCAAAACTGGTACTAGAAAGGTTAACCCAACACCAAAAGATGAAGGTTAACCCAACACCCTAAACCCAGAAGCTATCTTTAGGACCTCAGAAAGTGGAGCAGGATACTTGATACACTAACCAGATGCCAATTTTTTCTCTGTGGCCTAACTGAAAATACAGGATTATTCAGAGTTCTCAATCAACCTAATGAACACTGCTGAACTCCCTTACAATCACTCTTATGTACATATTCACAGAGAGAGGTAGATTATAATCATCCTGTTAAATCATTAGTGTAAGCATTCAGGTTCTTCCCAAGCACTTTATTCCAAAACCCCACAGGTTTTGTCCCATTCACTGTTCCCTCTAAGGTGCGCGGCTGCGCGGCTGCGCAGGGGCAACAAAACACAGCACAGCACAGCAGTTTCCAACTGCCGCGCAGTGATCTTTAGCATGATGGACTTTAGTCTGCAGGCGGCTAGGAGGCTTCTGTCAGCTGGGCCGGGATATTATAGTGCCTGGACACACCCATAGGAGGGTGGGCCTGTGGCCGCCTAGGATTATTATTAGGCTCCCTCCACCGGCGTGTGGCTGATTGACAGGGAGGCCGTTCCCTCCTGGATCAAAGTTACTGAGGAGGGAAGCGGCGGCAGCAGCAACGGCAGGCTGCAGCAGCCAACTCTCCGTGGGACGTGCAGAGCAGGCTTCCGTCGCGGTGTGTCAGCTAAGCTCCCATGGCTGGCTGGGCTCCCCGCAGTTGGCTCCGTTTCCGAGATGCAGGTGTGTGGGACACGCTCGCCATGCAAGCAAGTGGAAACCCACACTGGGTGTGCACATGTTGTCTGAATCCAGCCTCTGCATTCGGAGCATTGAGGCTTGAGGTTTTTTTCGCAGGAAGGGGGAGTCCGCAGATTTTATTTGATTTTATTTCTCGAAAAGAAAAAGNTTCCCCAGCCAGCGAATGCTGGCTGGGGAATTCTGGGAGTTGAAGTCCGGACATCTTCAAGTGGCCAAGGTTGAGAAACACTGTCCTAGCCACTGTCTTCCCACTGAAGAGGATGAAGGCTGCTCTTATGACTGCCGCTGTAGGAATACGAGTAGTACAAGGCCTGTACATCTTAAATTTTGTTGTAGAACATTCATGAGAAGTAAATGTGCACATTTTGTAATAAAAAATGGAAGACACGGAAGGCACGGGGTTAGTTTTTTTTCTTAGCCAAAGCACCTGTGTGTTTGTTATACAAAATTTAATACGTGGGGTTTGTGGCGCAGTTAAGCATTTTTATTCAACACTCATGAAAATCTTGGTGTTTGATGGAGACATAAAAGCATTCTCAGCATATTGACAACACTGGGGGGAAAAAAACAAAGTACATTTGCCAATCTAGAACCCACAAGATAAGTGGGCTCTTTAAGAACACTATCAAAAACGAAACGATCTCTTATCAACAAATACATTAACTGAGAAACAATCCCTTCCAGTTTTAGCGATTTCAGGTCCTTTTAAGAGGAAGGAAACTTAACCAGCGATGGAAACGGTCCTTGCCCCCCTCGTGCAGCAGCATCTAAGTTTACTAAAAATCAAGATGCACACAGGTCTTAGGGTTAAGCCTAGCAAGTAAAGGGTACACAATTTAAAAAGAAAAACATAAATTAATGTTTCATAATAATTTTAACAAACCAGCAAACCCCTTAAGTTCCCAGAAAAGAGACTGAAAGGAAGACGGTGTGCCATTCATAAGCGTTTTTTCCATAATTAAGCATCCAGCACACTTTTGCTCTTGACACCCGTCTTAAATTTCAAATATTAATCATTTCTTTCGCAGAACAATACGCTTCTAGGAGAAAGAAGTAACACCAACATAGTTTGCAAGGGAAGCCTCTTCATTGTGTTCTTCAGGAGGAAATGGAAGAATAGGTCGGGATCTTTGCTTTTATAATCGTCAAGCTTTCCTGTTCGAGAAATAGGAATTGGGAAAAAAAAATAGGCTTGAAGTCAGTTTACGGGCAGCCAAATTCCCTCTTCGCCCTGAAAACAGATTATTTCTACTTTGAAAAGGCCTTGGACATCCCACACCAACCCATTGTGGGACGTCTACTGGGAACANGAAATCTTGTGTATTGCACACTAAAGAGGCTCCTGTCAAAATCTTGGCCTTTTCTGGAGTTCTCACCAACTCGACTCCACATTCAAATATTTAGCTCAAAGTTTCATGGACTCAGCCTGGATGGATTGAGGGTTTCAGAAGACACTCTTAAATCTATAAAGTCCTACCAATTGCAGAAAGCAGAAATCCCCACTTTTGGGGTGGTGGGGGTGGTAACAAATCAACTTCTAATAATTTTTTTTCTGGTTCTAAGAGTTGTAAACATTTGTTGTGCATTTACATAACCATTCAGTCTGGTCAACCCATTGATTCATACCTTACCAGCTTCAGATCTTACAACTTCACAAATAGAAGGATTACTTTTTTTTCTTTATTAAGTATGGTATTTTTTTAAAAAAATAAAACAATCTCCCTCCACTATCAATCAAGGAAAAAACAGAACTATCCCATTCCTAGCATTGCATTGAATGCAAACATTTTAAGATGAAAACTCACAATATAATCCAACAAGAATATGCTCGCTATTTGGTTAATGGCATTGGAGATGCCTCTTTCTTTTCATACCAGCATGAAAGGTAATTTCCCCTTTCGGTAAGTTTAATCACTCCAAACAGAAATAAGAAATTAAGTAGTGTTTCTACAAGGGCCCAAATTGATATTTTCAAGTTTGAAGGGAAGAATCATTAAGTGCAATATGTGAGCTTTATGGACGGAGGCAAAAGTAAAAACAACTTTAAAATGTGCACCATTCTGAAGCAGCCACAAGAAATAATATAAATACAGCAGCATTTTAATTCAGCCGACGGCAAAACAAAAAAAAAATTATTATTTTTTAAATGTTTTACTTCTGAAAAAATGTTTAAGCAATATGCATTCCCAGAAACAAGTTAAAATTAACTTTTCTTAGTCATATCCAACCATCTTTGGATGGTTTCTCTTTTAATCTACACGTAGTACAATTCAAAGCCCATCTTATTCCCAGATAAGTAAATGAAAGGGTGCATTCCTAGAAAGTGGAAAGGACTTTAAAATGCTAATATGTGAATGAAGCAATGCTGATTTGATCCAGCATTCAGTGCTTCCGTACACTGAATTCGCTCACCAGGCCCCAGATCTTACCTGCAAGGGATGCCACCTTTAGAGTAAATGGCTGCAAAGGCGGAAGGTACTCTGGACTGAATATTGAACTGGAACAAAAAGAAATAAAATGGTCAGTATATTATTATTCTAACCCAGATACACCCCAGGAAGACACAGCTATTCTAAACCCTACTGAATTTAAATCCTTCCAATGGCACCTGAAGTCGCTTAAATTTTACGGGAGATATGTTACATTTTGAGGATATATTATTATAAAAAAACACAAACATATATTCAAAATGAAGATTAAAATCAGAAAGAATGCAGAGGCCGAAGCACTTTCAGCTGACAAAAGATTGTGTGATTCTTCTTCTTGACGTGGAAGAGGAAAGAAACGTGAAGAGGCAAACCTTTACCACTTCAAGGTGCTAGTCGTCACTTATAAAGCCCTTCATGGTATTGGACCTGGGTACTTGAGAGACCGCCTGCTGCCAATTACCTCCAATAGACCCATTAGATCCCACAGATTAGGCCTCCTCCGAATTCCATCTGCCGAATGTCGACCACCCGGAGGAGGGCCTTCTCTGTGGCTGCTCCAGCCCTCTGGAACAAGCTCCCCATGGAGATTCGACCCTCAC